TGGGGTGAAAGTAATGCGTTTTGGGGTGGGGGGCCCCCCCCCAGCCCCCCGCCCGCTCACGAGCTGGGTGTAGCCAGTAAAGCGCCCAGACTAACGTCTTTTTTTCCGTGCACGCTTGCAGCCATAACGGAGAGGACGAGGTGAACGGCAGGGAGCCCTGACCGCTGGGCCTGAGCAGCAGGCTTGGGGGAATACGGTGCCCCAGGCAGGGAGAGTTTAGGGGGTTAAGGGCCGCTAAGCAGAAAGCAGCCTGATAGTGCCTGTGTGTCCATAGGCCCCTGTTTCACACCCGCATGTTGAGGGAAACCGTTCTGTATGTTTTTAGTTTCAAAACAAAATGCATTTAAAAGGCACGAATTCCTCCCTCGTTCTTTCTCCTAAATGGAATGAATTGAAGAGCTCTAAATTTTTGACTCGCTGCTGAGGTGAAAATCGGAAACAAATGCCTTGTGCACATACTCTTTACCAAGTCATGTTTGAGCGATGTTTTCCTCACCAGCTTATGATTGCTTCTCTGTTGGTTGTAGGAAACATTCATTTCACCTTAAACATCCGCAGCTCTCCAGGTCCTCTGACCCACAGAAATCTTGACCTCCCTAAGGTGCTGTAATATTGCCATTTCAAATAAAATACATAGCCCGAGCCCTCAAAACAGTTCATATGGAAGAAGCGTATGTAGAAGAAATGGTTCTATTTCACTCATAACTTCCTGAAATAATTCATGCCCCTTATTGTCGCTGCCTGTAAGATAAGGGTTTTGGTGCCGGATGGCTGTCTCCAGAGTCTTTGGCAATCCCTATCCAAATAACAGCACTGCTGATGGCTCCAGAGTGATGGCTGACTGCTGCCTTGTATGAAAAAAATGAGCATAGGTTGAACATAAACAGTGGAACAGGCTGCTCAGATGTCAGAGAAAGCTGGGGATATTCATGCTTAGAAGCAGGGCAGCTTTGTGTAAACTAAAAGCAGGTGATTACAAACCAGCTTACAAATTACCTTGGTTCCCACCCCCCGGAGAGTAGCTAATCTCATGACAGCCCTAGCTGGCTAAGTACTACCCACTGGAGGGACAGAATGGCTCTCGCTTAAGTGTAATATGGTTTTCCAGTCCCTATATGTTTTAATATCGTGGTGTGCTAAGAAGAGAGACACTCCCTGTCCTCCCTACTCAGTTCTGCAGCCAAGACTCCGATCATTCACCCTTACCTTATTTTGCAGTCTCCTAACACCGATCTTCATAGTTAAGCTGAATCGGTTACATGGGCAAAGGTTTCTTGGAGACTCTGGATTTCATCTTTGTTGTTTAAAATACTATCAGCTTCCATTTTGAGCCAGAAAATAAGGATGATAACAACTAAACAGGTATAGTCTAAATTAGCTGAACTGTGATAAATAATACTTTCTATTAAGTAAGGAATTAACTTTTGTATATCACGCATTGGATGTGAATTCATTCTTTTCAGTATTACAACAAAGAGGCCTTTTCCTGGCAGATCTTTCAGTACTGCCTTTGACTACAGTATAATTGGGTGGGTTTTTTTTAAAGATTGTTACTTCTGGTGATTTCAGGGTCAGTATTTGGCTGTCTGAAGCCACATAAATGCTGAAAGGCACAGCCTGCTTGCTTTTAAAATATTTTGTTCCTTCTCCTAGACAAAAATAACACAAAGTGTACTTATTTTCTCTCTTTTGCTGCAAACTTCAAATGAACAGTACATGTAACCTAGAAGCTTCCTCACCCTGAAAAGAATGGATAATGTGTTGACATTCTGTTTTTTTTTATTTTTTTTCTTGTAAAACAGGAAGTTTCTCTGCATAGAAATAAATTCCTGTGTCATTTAATCAGCATTAATGTTTTGTGGGGTTTTTTTTCTGTTATTACATGATCATTTCCCTTATCCCCTGCAGAGACATTTAGAATAGTTTGTACCTATATTTTTAAGATAACCAAATTGTTCCATGAGTAGCAGAACTAATGAGGCCCGGTTTCCTACAGATTTGCGTCCTTTGTCCCTGTAATCCACACTGCTATCTCAGCAGCCCTACCTTCCTTTATGTATCCTGTGACACCTCCCCGCTAAGGGGGGGCAGCAGGACGCATGGTTAGTCCTGAGCTGTGCACATGTGGGTGGGCTGGTAGGCTGCTGCCAAAGGCATCACAGCATGCCTGAGTTGCCCCTGCCTTTCCCCCGAGGCTGGGCTGTGCTGATTTCTCTCTTCCACTTCTCCTGAAACCTGAGATTTTTTTCCTGTCCCCTCAATGTTGAGAAGTTACAAAGTTCTTCAGTTGAGAAGCCTGACAGCTGAACAGAAGCAGACAGAAGACAGACCAATTAATACAATTTTCATTAAGAAAAAAAAAACCAAAATAATAGATTATAACTTGGAGGTTTTCTTTAAACTTTCAAAAGTAGGCAGTAAGACACTGTTCTGATAATTTTCCCTTTAGGTCTCTTCATCAGTATTGCATGTAGTATTCTAAACACTTGACCCTGCTCTCTCTGATAAAATACTGTCCCTTGATGGATTTTTTTCATCCGTTTTGCAGTCTCACAGCATCTCACTTTTCTCTTGATCTGCCCAAAGTTGGCTCCTCTTGATTATACTGTGCAGTGCATCAGTTTTCACAGGTACCTCAAATTGCACTAGTTTAGCACCATCTCTGAAAGACCTTTGCCTTCTGTTGCCTGTGACTGCTCAGAAAGAAAAAAAAAAAAACCCCATACACTCCAGGAAACCCTTCACGAAGGCATATGGGGATACCTTGAGGGCAACCAGCTCCAAGTTCCCTTGCAGAATCAAATTTGCATGGATATCTCAGTTTCTCCAGAGTTATCGTTAGGTAACGATGCTCATGCTATTTCTATACCAATTATTGGGGATTCATACCTAGGGAGGCAGAAAGGACTCTAAATCTGGCATTGCTCATCCTCAAAGAGATTGAAGGAGTAGTATGTCCACTAGAGGAGCTGTTACTGTCACTATGGAGCGTTTGACAAGGACTTTACTAGTGGTTTAACAGCAGTTCGCATCACCCTTATAAATAATGTACCTAAATAAAGGTAGTTCTTACTATGCTCTCATTTGTTAAGGATCAGCATTTACTTACCAGTCTGGCGCGCACAGCTCCACGCAGGCAGGGCTAGTGTAGGCGGAAAGGTAAGAACATCTGTTCCCAGTGAGGCAGCACTGATCCGTCCATCTGCAAAATACACTTCTCCCTGCTTGTTGAGAAATGGTCTAGTTGTCATGAGTGGGTGTGTGCCTATACATGTGCAAGAAAATACGCTCCATTTGCAAGGTGAATCAGGAGATCAACGTATGGACATCTGTAGTCAGGGCACAGGAAGCTGTGTTTAAAATAAGGGCAGAAAAATTTTAAAGCAGAAATGTATGGGTAATCTAGCTTTCATTTCTTTTGAACAAAAACACATCAATAAGGCACAGAGGCAGAGATATGAGATGGGAGGGAGAGAGGCTGTTTTATCTCCGTAGAAAGATTCACCGTACCTGAGAGACCTGCTCTTTGCCCAAGGGTCTTTTGCACAATGTCTGTACAGGAACCAGAGGGGCTGGGTGCTCCCAGGTGAAATGTGTCCGTTTGTGAATGACGTTATAACGACATCGTTGCTCACGACAGCAGAGGAATGCAGTCAAATCCTAGCTGCCTCTTGGTCGCTTTTCCAGAGGGAACATGCTGCCATGCAGACTTACAAAGCCACATTTCCTTTTTGTGCCTGTCCCAACTGGACTACTTGCATGGATAAGGGGTATTAAAACTTCACCTGATTCTACGTGATGCTGGCTGTCTCCTGTTGCCATCTCCTGGCACTTATATCTCACAAACACATCCCCCAAAGAGACTCGTTTGGTGCTAAGGAAAAGGCACAAAGATTTCTCCTGGCACAAAGACAAATAACATGGATCAACACAAAGCGAGGCCCAAGTACCGAGCTCCTTAGTGGTGCTAATCCCACTCTGGCACGGGCTCCTTGTGTGACTCACCTTCTCTACCCCTCACTTACTTATCTGAAAAACAGAATGAGCTTTCCTTGCCCCATAGGAGGCTTGTGTGAGAATAAACATTTGAAACCGAGTGCTAGCTAGTTCGGATCAGCATTCAGTTTAATAATTCCTCATTATTCCCTTTGCACATGAAAGTTGTCACAGACCTAGACTCAAGGCGCTTTCAGCTCAGACAATAACGCTCCTGCACGGCTACCTCTTAATTGGCATTTCCCTGCCAAGGCTCGGCGTTCTGCGTCGGGCTCTTCCCACGTCAGAGCCGCCACAAACAAGACAGCCCGCTGACCCACTTAACGCCCACGGGAAGGCACATGACGTCTTGCTTCAGTCACCAAACCGAAAAGAAAACCCAATAGTAGAAGGTTTTGATTAAAGGGAAGCGAGCAAATGGCTTCGAGGCTGACAGTGCGCACGTGTGCGTGTCTGTGTTCGCTCCCGTGCAGTGATTTGGCCACCCAGGGAAGAATACCGTGTAGAGAGCAGGTAGCCTTGATGTAGCATGAACCGAGTTTGATTCGAGATTTCCCATTGGCATTGAGGTCCCGTGAGTTATGCGAGATCCCCACAAGCACCACAAGCCACCAATTAGTGCTAATTGTGACATCCTTTGTTTTGTGACTCTGGGGTCTGACCCAAAGCCCGCCAAACACAGCACACAGGTTACTAGCAACATCTTTCCATCCCTTCTGAGCTGAGCCAGATTTAATGCAGCAGCCTTGAAGATGAAAGGCTTCTAGTCTGAGCTAGACGTAGGTGCTAGGTCTCATTTTTATCACAGCTATATGTGCCCATGTTTTCCCTGGCTGCCCTCAGGCCTCTGGGAGGCTATTTACAGGTCAAACTAACAGGACTCCTATTTTTGTCTTGCATTTAAATTTACACTAAATCATCTTTCAGCCCCATTTCCTCTTCCCTCATAATTACCCATTTACACCCCTTTAGAAGGATTTATCTCTTCCTGTTCTTGCTTTGTTTAGTCATCTCCTGTTTTTATGTTATCTTTTTCTTCCACCATCAAAACGCTTATATTTTTTCTTATAGTCACATCTCCTTTTTTATACATGCACATCACACACTCACATACCTTAACAGCATGGATTCCTTTAATCTTTGAAAAACATTTCCTTTTTACTCTCACCCAAATATTAAACCAACTGGAAAGTGACACATCAAGGTTAGGAATGCAGTCTGCTTTTGACAAGGAAAAAATGCTGAGCGCTGCAAGACACGCTAAGTAAATGGATTAAGATCCTTTTTAAAGATTAGGTCACCTTTCACCCTAAATGCAAATTTCCACCGAAATTAATGGAAGCCCTTACTGAACGCAGCGGGAGGGCTGACGTTGGACAACAATGTGGCAAACACACCAGCAGCCCCCTCAAAACTGTCCAAAACACCAGCTCCAAATGGTTCTTAACCACCGACTGATTAAGTCTATATTACGTATTAACATGGCAGGATTTCATCTCGTAAAACTATGAGCTGAAGAGGAAAAAAAGCTGAGCCAGTAGTTCTCAGGATAAAAAACAGGACTGTGATTTATCCGAGGTGACTGCACTGACAGTACACCAAGGATAGGTTTGCCCTAGGAGAAGCTGTGCTGCCTCTAACACTAATACTTTGCGCTTACAGCTCCTTCCCGCCCACTCATAAAGCGCTAGCAACTCCAGCGGTCGCGTTTTACGCGGATAATTTGTTTTGCAGGATACAGCTCAGCAGAAGGCACTCGATGCACTGCCTGTTTAATGAACAACAAACCACATCTTTATGTGGGACAGCTGAGGGAAAAGCCTTATAGATTTGCCTTACATTTCCTCCGCCTGCCACTTCCGGGCAGATGAACCCAGCCTCCGTAGCGGTCAGACATGCAGACTCAGCCCAGCACCTGAAAGTCCCGCTGGGTGCTTTCCAGCTCTCACATCACCAGAAGTAAACCATCTGCAGGCAGCCAAGTTAGCAGCCGTGCTGCTGCGGTGTGACCAGCACAGCCACTGCTGCAGGGTGCGCGGGCGAGGAGCGTTCATCGCCCCCGAGTACACCCAGCAAGCCAGACAGAGATGCGAGGAACTGTCTTCACTCCTGAAATGGTGCTGCACTTGGAGCCTTGCAAAGCCACCGCGACAGAAGTACCTCTACTTCCCTGCCCTTTTAAAGGGAGCAGAACATGTGCAAGCCGGGGGCTTGCGCAAGCGTTCACAGGGAACCAGCAGCAATGCCAAGCCGAGGAGCAAGCAGCCCGATTTCCAGGTCTGTACCTGCTCACCAAGCCCTTAGCCGCAACTGGAGAAATGCACAGAAAAAAACAGGGCATTCCAGAATCATTATCCTAAAATCTACTTGCATTTGCCCTTCCCTCCCTGCCCCCCCCCCCTTTAAAACAGCAACAATTTCAAATTCAGGTCAGGCTCTGGACTTCACAGGACAGGCCAAGTGCAGGGTCAAATATGTGACCGTGGAAAGGAGGGGCCCTCAGTGCACTGCAGAGCCCGTGGCTCACTGCAGAAACCCACCGTGCTGCCTCCAAGCCCCGCAGCGTTCATCCTCACAGTCACGCCTGCTTTTTTCCAAGGCTGCAGACCTGCAGTGCACATGAAGGCCTCTGCTAATGCAGCGCTTGCTTTACACCCTGCCTGTACGATAGCATGGCATGAATGAATCCTGCTTCTCACTTCCATCGGTTTCCATGTGTCCATATTCATGCAGAGGACTGAGCTCATAGGATTCATGGACACCAGTGGAAACAGCCTCCGCGATACCCTAAGTCCTGGCAGCAACACTGCAAGCACTGCCAGCTTCTTCAGCTTGAAGGACGCATAGGCACAAGTGCATCATGCCTAAGTACTTTGTTGAGGCAGGGGCCAAACCAGGGCATCCAACCCAGGGCAGGGTAGGCAACAAAATGCACATTAGGAGTGACCAAGCTGGCTCTGTGAATACAAGGAGATGCACAAAAGCAGTTTATCTTCTAACAGTCCCAACTTGCACAGCTCAGACCACCCACCTCATACTCTGCTGGCCCTTGTGTCAGGAGAGGACAAGAAAGGCTCAGGGAGCCAAGTTCCTAAGCAGGGAATAGTCATCTCCGCTCAGTCCAGCCTTTATCCCGCTGCACCAGGGAGATGACAACCATCAGTGGGGCTTATGGCTGCACTTGGCCTTCAGGCCTTACGTCAATCCTCAGTAGAACTGTAAGAAGAACAGCTGTCCTGCTGACCCCACATCCAGCTGGATCTGATGGTCACTGGGCTTCAAATCCCAGAGCGCTGTGAAAGGCAGCATCACTGGGGCAAACAGCCCCCATCCAGTCCTCTTGCATTCTGCATCTTTGCATTTCTTTAGCAATCCTGGCCAAGCCTTTCCAAACACCGTTCCTCACGTGCCCCCCTCCCAGACTGCAGCAGGAGCTCCCTGGGGGCACGCACTTTCCCAGAGCTGTGAGCAGTCCTCCCCTCTCTGCCCTGCTCCAAACGGCTCTTTGGCTTCCGTCACTTCACCATCCAGTTCCATACCACCTCCCTGCTGTACACGATCCTTTGTGCTCTCGCGTTACCTGAGCGCTGGCACTCAATGCCTGATTTGCAGCGAGAGTCCCATCTGTCGCAATAGCTGCAGTCAGCCCACGGGGACAGTCATTACATGAGGGGACAGCCATAAATACACACGCTCCTATTTGAGTTCCAGACCTGCGTCCCACGTTTTCCGGGGACCGCGCACCCTGCCTGCAGTCCTGCTTGCTATCTAGCAGTTGAATAAGCTACCACAGTGACCGGATGAATAGGTACAAATCCTCTCCCAGCACTGTGCTTGTCTTCTCCACAGCTCCTGCTCTCTACTTGATTAACTGGCTGCATCCTTTCTTAAATCCCAGTTGGAAGCATTTCCTTTATTTACTTGTTTTTCCTGTCCCTCAGAAAGCCCTTTGCTGCTGCATATCCCACTTCTACTTCTGCATTATTCAGCATACTCAGCTTTGATGGGAAGCCACTCGCAATGAGGCTGTTTGCAGTAAGACAGCCCAACTTGTTAAGAAAAACATAAAGCAGCATTTTCTTCCCTGATCAGAGCTAAGTCTTGTGTAGGAGCTTCCCTTTAGCCTATCCTTTCCCAGTGCAGGAGATCCACATAGATACTAGCCACAGAAACTCCCAGCCAGCAGGCGTTTAACTAATCCAAGCCTCCTGGACAGCCAGCATCTCGGCTCCTGCCATATGCTTAATTAATGTTAGGTAGGAAAAGTGATGAGAGGCCTCACTGCCCCCCTGCACGGGAAAAAAATGTTTCACCTTGGCAGTTCTCATTCATGCAGTTAACCATTTCCCAGGCTTGCTCCGATGGCTGCTTGCCTCGGGCAGGGAGGGTGCCTGGATTAGCAGGGTCTGGCAGCAGCCTGAACCACACAAAGGCCCTCCCGACCGTCTTGTGTTGCAGCAGCACCGTGGGCTGATCCTCCACATAGCCTTGGCTAAGGAGGAGCAGATTATTGCTGTCCAGAGTCCGACATCTCCCTGGTGCTGGGCTTTTGTTAAGAGCCTGGGTGTTAGATTGTAACCTCTGGGGAACAGGCTGTGTTTGAACAGCATCTTGGACAGTGGGGGTCTGGTCCAAGGCAAGGACCTGTGGCTACTCCTGGAAGACACCTAAAAGCAATCACAACCCCACATTGCTGGCACCCTGCCTGCATGGCGCGTTCACCTGTGACACCTTGCCCAGGACAAGGATTTGCACGGCGCCTTACACAAGGCAGCCCTGGCCCGGCTGGCTGCATTGCCCAGGGAAAGCAAGAGCCTAATACCCCTCGCACCACGAGCTGTTTGCCGTCAAGTTTGAGACTTGCCCCTCAGGACTGCAGTCATCTTAAAAGTCAGGTATGCAAACCAATGGGCTTATTACGGGCAATACCATCCCGGGACAAGCATCGCTTGCCCAGTCTGCTCTCCTCCTCCACTCAGCGCTCATAAGCAGGCGCTGGTAGATGGACCAGGGTTTACAGCACCTCCCAAAGCACTGTGTAGCCTGGGCCACTATCCTCGCACACCTAACAGGCAAAACAAACACAAAAAGCGTCAGGCAACATCTTTAATTCCAACCACAGTTTAACACTGCCAAATCCACCAACACCTTTTCCTCTAAAGGTGAGCGTTTGCTTCACGATTCCTTTCTCTCCTCTGTTTTTCAGCCAGTTTTGCCTTTCCTTCCCCCTCCATTCCCATTTTACTTCCAGTGCTGGGAAACGCTGTACCCTCCTAAGCCCAGCTTCCCTCCTGCCAAACAGAGATCAGCATAAACATGAGTAAATGAGCAGATGTCCCTAAATAGCATCTAGGTGCTTCTGAAGCTTGATAATGGTGCTACATACATAGAGACTCAGTAAACTAGCCCCAGTAAGTCACTTACTGTGAAAGGGCAGAGAGCTTTCAAGCTGTGTCTTGAAACCAACCCCCTAGCATATGCCCATCCTGGTAAAAACACTTCACAGCCTGCCCTAAAATTACAGTGGGCAAGAGGTTTGCCTTTGTCCAAGCTGAACAAACAAACCGACTGGAGAGCTGAGAATATGAAACTCACTGCAAAGAATGAGATATAACTCATGACACAGCACGTCTGTCCATTTGCTACGGAAACTATGTTTGGCAAGTATCAAGTGTCTGAGTTTCTGCTTATGTACATCTCCCAGGAGAGCAGTATATTAATAACACAGGCAGCCTAAAAACAGAAACTATCACCAAGATACCCTTCTCCTGAGAGTTTATTGCTGTAGCCTGAGTATTGTCGGGCTTACTGACCCATTATTCAAGCCGCACAGAATTTTGTTTCCTTGCTCCTCAGATTTGCCATGTAAACTGATCTGAATTCAAGGAAGACCAATAAACAAAGAAAACAAGTCCAGGAAGTAGATTTTACTGTAGGCACAGCTTTCATGAATGTCTTCTCATCAGGACTTGCACTACTACACAATGAACACGGGGCATTAACTTGAAGGAACAAGCACAAGAATAAGGCCCTGGAAGCTCATACGATTATACAGGATAGCCCAGGCATGACGAACAATATGAAAAATAGCCAGAGTCAGACACGGAATAAAACAGCAAGCAGACACAGGCTTCCAGACACAGGCATAGGCAAAACACAAGGTGCAGAAGAGAGCACAGTCACAGAAGCAGAGGAGGAGGAAAGCAATGAAGGTTCAAAAGGCAGGCCAGGGAGTCGGAAGGGGAAGCACAGGAAGGGAGCTGCTCCGATTTCAATGAAAGCAAAATTTGACTGGATAAGTTACACTCGATAAAGCGAGTTATCTTAAGAGCAGCTTTAACTCAAGTGGTCTCGTCAGGAGTATTTTGTATTAATTTTACTGACACCAAGGAAACGTGGATATTTGTTAAAAGATCCGTACCAGATTTCTCATGTCTTCTCATATTGTCCTAGAAACACATCAGAGACTGATGTCTTAGAGACACCACTGCAGCTGGGTCACACTAAACTGCTTGGGCTGGACAGGTTTCTTTATAAATCTGGGAAGTCCCTTCCCAGGAGACCTTATGTTCTGCTTGTCAGAGGGCAATTTAAAAAAAAAAAAAAGCTGCATCCACACAGTTGAAGTATGCTGCCACCCAGTGTTAAGATTGCATTCAAGAGATTCAGTGCTAGATGGAAGAAAGTGTAGTCACATTCCTTGTTCATTATCTAACAGCCATCTTTATTTGCACAATACATAAGGTTAAGAATGTGCATTGTTAAAGAAAACTGTCCCTTCTGGGCAGATGTGTTCTGTTCCTGTTGCGTTGCTCTTTGCTGTATGAAGTAGTTATGGCAAAATAATGGCAAAAACAGGTTTCCTTAGCATGTCTAAGATGACAAGCGTTTGATGTGAAGGCATATTCATCAAAGTGGCTTCCCTGACAGTTCAGTGACAAAGGAAAATAATTCGAGTCACTCACAAGTGTCATTATGAACACATTATTCAAATGATCAGGCCACATAAGACAGAATTATCCAGGAAATGAATCAAATTTCTTCTTCTCTCCAGAGTCCAAGTCTCAGAATAGCCAGGATTTAGTGCTGGCCACCTACCTGAGTTGTTATGGCCTAGGCGTTGCTTTGAAATCTTTTGCCAAGTCTGACCTAGAGCCAGCAGTGCAGCAGCAGAGTGTTTCCTTTCAAGCAATAAAAACACAAGGCTAAGTACGTTCCACAAAACTCAGACTGGAATTTCTGTGTCTCAGATTTGCAGTAAAATCCACATTCTAACTGCACAGTCAAACTGCATATTCAAACAGGACTGGCTATGTACAGAAGTCATACACTGGCTACAAAGTATGCCTCCCACATATTTCTTCATTCCTCAGCAGCCTTTAGAGAAAGATCATGTTTATAGACCACAAGGCTGGTTCTGTAACATCTTCCCACAATGAACGTTTCAGAAAAAGTTAAAAACGCCTGTTGCAGGAAAAGTTTAAAAAGGCATTTCCAGCTTCTATACTAGCTCCAGCAAATAAAGGACAGCTTTGTAAGATTTTAGGTTGGGTACGTAGATACCTTGTTCGCATGGACAAGGTTAGCGACATCACTAAGGTTAGTACGTCTGCTTTAAGAGTTTCGAGTCAGCTATGACAGATTAATAATTTGGAACAAGAATAAATCTTGCTGCACAACAAAAAAAATACACTCTGATCTTGTACTACCAGAGACACAAACCTGCCTTCCCGTCCTGGTTCACCCACCCAATGGGTAGAAGCTTACTACAATACTGTGATGTGCTTGTTGCCTCCTGAAGCAGGAGTTACCCTTGTTTCACAGAGGCAGTGGAACTGAAATACAGGTATGAGATGCTGCAGGGCCTAGAGGACAACATAACTACTGATACAACCCAGGCTGCTCCGAGTACTGATGCATCTTTTCACAGTAGCATAGAAGTTTGCTCAGCCTGAGAGCTGTTGCACTCAAAATTGCCGTCACCATTTGCCCCCCTCCACAGCCCCACAAACAATCCCTCGACAGGCAGCCATACTTCACAGCACTGTAGGACTTACAGGAAACAGTAAAGAAAAAGTAATGGATTTTACAATCCACCCATCTTCAGTTCAAGTTCCTTGTAAGTTTTCTGACCCAGACAACAGCAAGTTTATGATACACAAAATGCCAGAGAATTAGCAAATCATCTTTGCCCAGTCAGCCCAGAGGTAGACCAGTATGCCAGCACGTGCAAGCCTGGGGCTTCTGCTGAGTGAAACGTGTTTTACAGAAATATGTGAGGAATGAAAGGGTTGCTGTGACTCTGGCTAAGCCACCAGTCAACAGAACAGACCTACGCTACATCCTCAATAGCAGGCTACACTCTCAAAGAAGTATTTTTTTTTTGTCTGCTTTGGGAAAAAAATTTGGCTCTTGAACGTAAATGACCTCAGCCATCCTCCTATCTGTCTTCTCACCACCTTCCTAATCCGAGTCCCTTTCAAGTCCTCCACAACCACTCCAAGTCCTAGCAAAGGCTGAGCTGCCTGGGCATTGCTGAAAGCAGGGATGAACACCAATGCCTTTCGCAGACAGTGTGGTATCCTGCCTCTGCCCAGGACAGTACAGGCAGATCCTGACTCACCACAAACAAAAGATAAATCAAGGTATGCCTTCCTGGGGGGAAAAAAAAAAAAAAACCTGTCCCCTTCCATCTGTGCATCTGTATGAGTATTCATGTAGAACACAGACATTCAGTTACAGAAGGACCGCTACCAAAAGCCAGCGCAATTAAAAACAAAAAAAACCCACAGAATTGTTTTATAGCCTGTCGTTAATTATCAATGTAAAATACAGCCCCATCAGCAGGTCCTCAACAGACTTCTCACATCTTGAAAAGCAGTGAGCACCAGAGACAAGGAAGCTACAGAATTAACTGAAGGTTACAATAAGCATGTCAGAACACTAGCACTGACGAGGGTAAAGTCAAGAACATCTTCAAAAGCAGAGAAGCCCGCAGCTCCCCTGATGGCTAAACAGGAGGGGAATGATTGGTGAATAGATTCCTTGTACAAGAAAGGCTGAAACACCACAGTCCAGTAAGGTGGACTGAGACAGGTGAGCAGAACCACTAGAAGCTCCACTTCACTAGATTTTGAGTTGAGGAAAAACTTAGCTAAAGGCATTAAAACTTTAAGTTTATTTTTGTTTCTTCACATTTTTTTTTCTTGTCTGTTTCTTGGGTCTCTGCACAGCATTCTTAACACTGTTGGGGGGCAGTCTGATAGTTATTTCATTGTCCTCTGTGTCATCATCTGCCTCATGAGCTTTCCGGCGCTCAAGCACTGTAGGAGTACAGACTGGAGTAGGATCCTAAAGAGATCAGAAAACCAGAATTTACTACAGAGCATCTACCAGAGAAAGTTGCCACCACCTGTCTGGTACCACAAGACATCGCAGCCCAGCTCTCCATCAAAATTTCTACAAAGGAAAATGGGTTTGTTTTTATAACTGAATAACTATTTTTCTACACAGTATTTCTTCAGACTAAAAGCCAAAGGGCAAACGTGAATTAAGTCATATTTTCTAAAATGTTATTATGCACAATGCTTTTCTAAACTTTATATTTCCTGACTCAAAGCACTAAGAAAGCCAAGAGGAAAAGAGTCAAAAAAAAAAAAAAAAAAAAGCTAAGTTTATTTCTGATTGGCATACAGAAATGCCATATTCAAGCCTGCAGCAGAGCTGAAGCATCCCAGCTTCTCAGTAAATTCTCAGAGCTCAGCTGACCATACAAGTCCATAGAGACAGCTATCCTTTCTTCTTCACAACCAGTCCTATCCCAACCATTGCTTATATTCAGTAATAAAATAATAAAAACATACAACACACACCAACATCCCCACATAAGAATGATGAAACACAAGGGAAACTAACAGCTTATAGAGACTATCAGCGTTCCAAATCTCAATCCTGAAGACCTGATCTTTCCTATCACCCTGCTATGAGTTTTAGCTGGCAGTATCTTTCAATATACTGGAATGCTAAGCCTAGAGATCATGAAGGGGGAGAGATGCTATAGCATCTACATGGTGCTGAACAGCATTAGGATGCATTAATGGTTCGATTTCCTTTCTGTCAACACAGCAGGGCGTTATAAGGTAGCACACACCAACAGACCACCACCAACAGGGAAATTATTTTGTGCTGGTTTAAAGCACATACATAGATGGTGTACAAGTGACTGTCCCCCACCAAGTAGCTGACACAGGCAGCAGACACACCTTTGCTTGGACATATCTCGTGACACACACTGCTAGTAACAACATGCCAAACAGAAACCTTTGCTGCTAAAATACTCTTTGTATTGTTCAAGACAAAGAATTTCAACGGATTCAACCACTATCTTCCATTTAAATGCATTCATGCACCTCAAAGCAGCTGTCACCTCTGCTAAAGAGGACTCTCAAGGGAAAATAATCTCCATGTTTCCAGGCACTGAAATTAACATAAAGAAGCCAGCTGCAGACCTGAAACACCCACCCCCAGTACCCGTAGTGGTGCTGCGCACCATCGGAACTGTTCAGTCTTACCTGACTGTTCAAAGAAACATTCAGCTTTGGTTTGGATTTTTTAACTTTCTTTTTCTTTATGGGAAGCTCTTGCGCAGCCTAGGAAGCAAGACAGACCAGGTGAAACCATACAGATTTCCTCATGTGAAGGCACAGCGTACCTAACAGTCTGTAGGCTTCTTTGCTTCACAATTATAAAATCTGTGCTACAGTAATTAATTTGAATTAATAAAAAGTGACCTATACTGCTGGAGAGGTGATCTGGTTGGAACAAAAACATCTATAGCAACATATGAAAAGCTGCCACCGGGCCTTTCAAAAATACCACAAAGAGAAAACAGTGTTGCCCAAAATATATCAACCAAGCACTCCGCAAATGAGTGATATGCTTGATTAGCATAAGCAAGGTACTTCTCTAAAAGTAAATCCACATGTGCATATAGTACAACCCAGCAACACTACACTGACGTTTCCAAGAGTTTCTGTACAGTTCTTAATCCAAAGAGGTCTCTCTACTGCTCTAGATGCAATACAACTCTTACATCAGCTACACATAAACCATGTGATTTTCTCGTATTTAGCAAGTCCTGAGAAAATAAGCTTTGCTTAAACACTCATTACAGTGATCCCACACTTACAAATCCTGGGAAGTCATAATCAAGCCCCTTTTCAGCCAGTCTCTTCCGTAAAAGTTTCTCCTTCCGTAGTAGTCGCCTTGCCATCTTTGCCTTCTCACTGACGGAACGTATCCTATTGTAACGACTGACTGCTGGCTGAGAAGGCTTCTGAAACTTTCTGTCACAGTCTTTGAAAAGGTTTTCGTGGACCCTTTCAGGAGGTATGAACTGACCTGTGTCAAAAGCATATAACGTCACATCATAGCAAAGCTACTTTTCTCACCGAACATACTCACGTGATGCTACTCAGTTCTTGCTATAACATTATCCACCACTACAGCAAAGCACTATTACAGAATTTTACCATCACAAAGACCGGAAAGTAACTAAATACTTGCTGGTAACAGTACCGATAACGGATGCATGGAAGAAAAAAAAAAAAAAAAAAAAGAAAGGCATTTTCAGTTTCACCCAGAAAACAGTCAAAAGACAAACCTGATTTTCTCAAGTTGGTAAGCATATATAGCTCACACTGCTCTACAAAGCAAGTTTTAGTATCATTGTGTTTGAGACATTTGTTCGTTTCATTAATTTTTAAACCAGAAAAGCTATTTGCATTTAGCTGCACAGAAAGCAGCTGCAACAGAGTTATAAATTAAAAAGAATTTTCATATTAAAGGAATTAGATTTGCTCTATAGAAGACATCTCCTCTCATTACGATTTTGTATGATGCTATTATACAATAACCATTATTAGTCTAGAAAAGAAAGTAGTAGCAAATAAAAGGCTCATGATGATATACTTTACATATGAAGAAAAGCAAGAAAAGCTCAGCCACACAGAAAATTCTTTTGGGCTGAAGCTTCGTAAAGAAACAAGAATCTTCAGATAGTTCAGAAAAAACACAAGTATGAGTTTCCTTTGCACATTAGACAATTCAGACTTTGGGTTATACTTACACTTTAGAAGTCTTTCTCCAAAGAGGTAGTTGTTCATTGTTTCTGCAACAATCTTTGCCACATCATCAGATTCGAACTCAATAAATCCATAGCCTTTGCTACCTCCAGTCTGCAAGCAATAGGAGGAAATCTGAAGTGACACTTAGATATCTAGCAGAAGAACTAAATTCAATTTTTTTATGCTTCAGAAGGGAAGGCCTACTTTCAGCTAAACAGCTGTAATTTCAGAAAGTTCAGTGAATTCATGAAAAGCACCAAATTTAGTCCTAGATCTGTAGGAGAGTATTTGTAAATACATATCTGTGCATGAAATAAACCACTCACCAATATCCTATTTTAATACATATAAAGAAAGGCCCTGCATTTGCTGTTTTCATTTTTATTATCAAGTTTACATAATATTATAACGTGATGATAAACCCACAGATGTGTAGATGTTAAATTTATCAAGCACAAAGCAATCGAAATGTTAAAAGAGAGTCTTTTCCATGACATTTCACATTCTGCACTTAAGAGTATTCTGGCAACACTTCCAACTTCAGCACATTCACTTGTGAAGAAAGGGGCTACATCTACCGGCACTGAAACTGCTGATTTGTGGGACCATCATCCCTCACATGCTGTCTATCAGCCTCAAATTCATTTTGGAAGTATTTTCAGGATAAGAAATTACGCGCGGGGCCCCCTGCCGCCCACTCTTGAAACTGCAACGAAGCTTTCCACGTGTTGCATCCCAAAGCCGGATGAACAGCAGCAGGGCCAAAAACGCATAAGCTGCTTAAGGAGCTTCCGAAAGCAGTTAGTTTTGCTCATTATCCAAGTCAGTAGTTTCTGTAAGCAAGAAGTCTCAGAGCCCTAACAGATTTAGGGTTCACTCTACGAAAGCGAGCGGCACACGTACTGCTGTAGCTCAGGCACTTCACAAGCAGTAACAGCAGGAAAGACGAAAAGGAAAGTTAAACTCACTTTAACAGCTCTTTAGAAGAAGGGGGACGAAAAGGAGAGGGGGCAGTCACAGCAGCCAAGCCGGGAGACAACAGCGATTCGTCCTCCCGGCACAAGGAAACGGATTCCCGAAACGCGGCGAGAGGCCTGAGCCTAGCGAGGGAGGGCGAGGCGCCGGCAGCGGCCGCAGGGCCCGCGGCGCGGCACCGC